TGCAGACAGAAGCGTGTACAGTATGAACCAATCACTGGCAGTAATGACAGAGCATGCGCTGTTACGCAAAAACCGCGATAGAGTGAAGCCACGGAAGTCGAAGCGTGAAGTGGCGAGGGTTCACTGTATATGATTTAACAGTTCATTTCTTGTTATATATCTAATTATCTTTATAAAGAAATAGAGAACCTCTAGAGAACCTTGTCTAACACAGTGGCCAAGTAGTTAACCACTGTACCCCCAGGGCTTTCTAAAATTATTCTACATGCACCGAAATAGAATCATTTTCAAGAGTTGTTGTTAACTAACAAGGTGCACAACATGTGAGGGAAAATGTGCATAGGAGTCTGAGGGGGACAAACAGCTAATCCTCTTGGCTTCTAACTGAAAGCTTGAAGGTGCCAGTCAACATAGAGGCACGTTGGAAGAAAATCCTGGTTATCTAATTCTAAATTTTATATATATATAGTCAGCCATTGAAAGCCCCATAGAGCCCAGTTCTACTTTGACACACGTGGTCACAAGGTGTCACTTGAGAGTACTGTGGACTTGAGAGTACTATCTTGTTTAGTCTACATCTGCTTAAGCTTGTATGTACAGAAGGTAATGCTGGGGATTTGGAAGACATTGGTCCCTGGTTGGTTCTGAAAAGAACACTGGAAATTAAGCTGCGGGTGTGGGGAGACCCACAGACGAACCAATAACATTTAGCACCATCTGCGGTTACTGTTCACTGTGGTAGACTAGTCTGCTGTAAGAGCCAAACCCCAAACTAAACCCACTGCCATTGAGTTGATTCTGGTGCTTAGGGTTTCTGAGACTGAAGGAGTCAGCAGCCTTATCTTTCTGCCATGGAGCTACCGCTGAACTTGAACCATCAACCTTGTGGTTCACAGCCCAGCCTTTAACCCATTGTTCCACCAGGGTTTCAGAGTCTGCTGTACAGACACTTCAGATCAGCCTGATGACACAAAAGAAATAAACCAAGGAAAGTGATAGCAGATGTGGTCTGCATTTCGTTTCAAGGATGGCTGACCTTTTGAGACTTCTCTCTTCCTCCAGACTAAATGCTGTTATCACCTCTCTGGCCAGGACCCTGTGAGGATCTAGGCAGCATCAGTTAACCTCAGCCAGTCCCCTGTGTTCTTCCATTCTTTGAATTTCATGTTTGTCGGTTCCATTGTAAACTTCAGAAATTCAGCTGAAGGCTAATATTTGAACCCAAAAGACTACACTTTGTAGTCTGGCCCATACTACCTGAAATAGAAAACACATGTATGTATGTATGTATATTTGTATATTTTAAGGTCACCACTGTATGCCACTCCCAGTCCCTTTCAAATTATCTTAGATATGTATTTTTTAATCCCAGGCTGATTCATCTAAATAAGGTCGATCTGCATGCTCCAAATGAAATGCTGTATGGACGAATGGGTTACATCTACGCGCTTCTGTTTGTGAATAAGCACTTCGGAGAGGAAAAGATTTCTCAAAGCCATATTCAGCAGGTACCACGTGTCTGTGATCTTGTTTGAAGTAGCGTCTGCTCACTTAGCACCTTTCCTGGTAGCAGGAAAGTGTATCTTAACCTCAGCGTGTCAGGCACGGCCAAAGCCCCAGCAGTGCCACCCTACCCCCACCACCACCACCCCAGGACTGATGAAAGCCCTGGAGAAAGCTGAGTAAGCAGCCTCACCTCTCAGTTGGAGAGCTTGTAGACCCCTGTTGAAGACAATCCGTGTCACATTTCTCCTCCGAGATGCACGGCCTCCTTCGGTGCCTGCAGGAGCGACCGTCTCCTCGGACAGGTTCACAAGGACCCGTCCTTGCCCCTTTCTGGCAGTCTATCGGCACCCACTTCTCTGAGTGCAGACTCACGCCTGCCCTTCCAGGACTATAGCTTGGTATCTAGTTCGCGCTCCTCCCCAGAGCAGACAGTCCCTCGCCTCCCTCAGGAATGTTTCTGTCCTGGTCCTCATGACGTGGGGCCGGTTTCCTCCCTGTAGGTTTGTGAAGCAGTTTTAGCCTCTGGAGAACACCTGGCTAGAAAGAGGAACTTCACGCCCAGGACTCCACTGATGTATGAGTGGTACCAGGAATATTATGTGGGGGCTGCGCATGGCCTGGCGGGTATCTATTACTTCCTGATGCAGGTAAGGCTTTGAACCGTGCTTCCTGAGGGTACTGTCTTAGATGAGAGGAGAAGCGTTCTGTTTCCATTTTGACAAGCCCGGCATCAACCTCCTTTTGGTAACCTTGCTAGAGGTCAGTGAAGGTCACGCTTCCCAGTGTGCACTGCAAAGTGTAGAGACCTAGATCAAGCCTCTGTGCTCTGCGGTGACACTTGGTTTATAGCTGACCGCTGGGCTTACATACCGAGTGGCATTTGTGCAGACCAGAGGAACTTTGGCCTAGAATTCTGTAGGAAGTGCCTCCCGTGCTTTTGTTCGCTCTCAGCAAATGCCTGGAATTGAGATTATTATTCCTCATTATGTGGTACAACCCATTGAGACTTTCTCCAGGAGTAGAAAACAAAATCAATAGGAAACAAATGAGCATTTGTTGCCTCAGGCTGGCGTAGAGAGCAAATCGGAGGGGCCTGCAATGGATTTTGTGTAACTTACCTGAAAAATAGCTGAATTTGCTATAACCAATAGTTCTTAGGGTCTAATACTATTGGGAGGCGTCAACCAAAGTCAGGTAGACTAAGGTTAAATAGGATTTACTGCAGCAAGCATAACTTAGAAGTGGCAGGCAGAAGATAACTTCGCACAAGAGCATCGTTTAAGGAGCTTACTAAGCTCTCTCTAAAGAGGAATTGGCACTTTAGAATAAGAATCCCCTTTTGCCTCGGAGGGAGCCTGGGAAGGAGCTGGGTCACCAGCAGTTCTACTGGGGCCACCCGCGAAAATTCGGCCAGGGCTCCAGTTCTCGCCGCGTGTGCTCAAACCGGCACGGTCTGATCCGGAAATACGGCCTCAATGTGTGCCGTCAGTGTTTCCGTCAGTACATGAAGGACATCGGCCTCATCAAGCTGGACTAAGTTATGTTTGGATGGACAATCCAAGACCACTACCCAAAAGAAGAAACAATGCCAACTATTTGTATATAAAATTTTAAAAATTCAAGCCTGAAAGAAAAAGAAAGACTAAGAATCCATGGGACGAGCGTCGAGATGGCAGTGAGTGACACACACCATGCTGCTCCTCTGTAGCCAACATCTGAGAAACTAGTGAAAGGCAAGTGACAGAGCTGGAGCTTTGAACGTCCCGCGGAAATATAAAGAACAGAATAAAAAACAAAAGTATAAAGAGGAATCGAACCCTGAATGGAAGAAGAAATTCAGAGAACACCAAAAACAAGGAATGACAGGGAGCAGGGGACTCTGCCAGCTGTGCCAGCACCCGTGGTGACCTCGGCAAGGAGCCCAGGAAGGCAGCCTCGCATCGCTCCCAAAGAGAGACTCAGACCCGCATCGCTCCCAAAGAGAGACTCAGACCGGGTGCAGAGGGACCCAAGGGGAATAGGACATGATCTGGACCCAAGGAGGGGAAGCGCAGGAAGGGAGGCAGAGAGCTCCCCGGAACCTGGCGCACACATGGAGGGAGCCAGGGTCCCAGGCAGGAACACAGCCCATGCAGGTGGGTGGTGCATGGGAAGCGATAGATCTCTAGAGGATGAATGGGAAGGAGGTTCCCCACCAGTGATTGCACTGCAACACAGGGGCCCCCCACCTGCTCCCCGACCCGACATGCAGCAGCGTGTACTTGCACTCTGACTCCCACCCCAGCCCCCAGCCTGACAAGAGGCGACAACCACCCTCCTGCCTACTCACGCTCACTTCTCAGCCCCAGTCCGGCAAGCGATGGTGACCATGCGCCCACACACTCGCCCCCAGCCACCTCTTCCAGCAAGGGACTGCTCCCGCCAGCCTGAGGACCACACCCCAATCCCAGCCAGATAGTGTGCTCCCCGCCCGCCATCTACCCCTGCCTGTGAACCTGGTAAGCAGTAGAAGGCACCCCCACCACACACCCTGCTGACTGACTCAGTGCCCCTACACACCACACACCGGCCACCCACCCCAGCCCACGAATCCAGCAAAGGGCAACAGCTCCCACAGGACTGCTCACCACACAACACTGCCCCACCCAGTGGGTGAGTGGCATTCCCTCACCCCCAACAACAGGCAGCAGCCTATCCTCGGCCACCCTGAGCAACCAGCCAACAGAATCCCCAGCTCACACTGCCCGCTGCTGCCCTGGCCCTCCACAGACAGGGCAAGTGTGCTGGCACCGCCAGACCGTGTTACTGGAGGGCAACCCTAAAAAAAATGTTAAAGCCTCCTTATCCAAATAAGAAGAAAACCATAAAGTCTTAGTAAAAACAAAATCAGCAGCATTAAAGTAGTGGAAAAGCAATTCACAAGCAAAAAGAGCACAGAAAATTAAGTTGAACAAAGAAATGATCAGTACCACACCCATGGGGTGGGGGGGGCCGCTCCGCAAAATGATAGAGTAAATCTATATACTTACTGATAATCATACCAAATGTTAAATGGCTTAAATGCAGTAGTTGAGAAAGAAGGGCAAATTCGGATTTAAACCAAATGACGCATTTATATATTGTCTACAAGATACATGTCAATGAATAAGCTAAAAATCAAAGAGCTGGGGTGACCGTACTGATTTCTGAGAGAGCACTTTAAGGGGGAAATGAGACAAGGCAGGACATTTTTAAAAATGGGGAGCATCAAAACGTGATTGGGAATTTTTCATTTAATTCTATTTGTCCATGATCTTTTTGAAGCTGTGTAGTATAATGATTAAAGGGCCAGTGGACCAAGACATGGCCCTAATATGCATAGTTCAAACATCAGAATTGAAAAGAGAAATAGATAATTTCATAATTACAATACATCCGTATTGACAAAAGAAATAGAAATAAATTCAATAAAGATACGGAAGAGCTTACCAACACAATACCAACTTGATCTCATAGACGCATAGAGACCAATCAACAACAGCGTAGTGTGCATCCTTTACTTAAAATACATAGACGCCCCACCCAAAAAAGATAAGAAATCTAATTTTAAAAGGGGCAGTAGACATGAATTGATTCATTATCAAAGAAGACTTTCAGATAGCTATGAAAAATGTAGTCGTCAGCCATTCCAAGCCAAACCCACTCATAGTGACCCTTGAACATTTTAACAGCAGCAGACAGCCTCATCTTTCTTCTGCGAAGTGACTGGTGGGTTTGAACTGACTTTGTGGTTAGCAGTCCAACTCCTACCTGACAGTGCCACCAGGGTCTAATTAGACCAATGGTTCTCAACCGTCCTAATGCGACCCTTTCATACAGTTCCTCATGTGCTGGTGACCCCTCAACCATAAAATTATTTTTGTTGCTACATCATAACTGTCATTTTTTTTTTTTAGGTACTATTACTGACATTTATTTATTTTTTTCTTCTGTTGTTTTTTGTTGTTGTTTTTTTAAATCATTTTATTAGGGGCTCATACAATTCTTATCACAATGCATACATACATCAATTATGTAAAGCACATTTGTACATTCATTGCCTTCATCATTCTCAAAACATTTGCTCTCCACTTAAGCCCCCGGCATTAGGTCCTCATTTTTCCCCTCCCCGCTCCCACATCCCTCATGAGCCCTTGATAATTTATAAATTATTATTTTGTCATATCTCGCGCTGTCCAGCATCTCCCTTCACCCATTTTTCTATTGTCCGTCCCCCAGGGAGGAGGTCACATATTCCTTGTAATCGGCTCCCGTTTTCCAACCCACTCTCCCTCTTCCCTCCCAGTATCACCACTCACACCACTGGTCCTGTAGGGATCATCTGCCCTGGATTCCCTGTATTTCCAGTTCCTATCTGTACCAGACTTGCAAGGTAGAATTCGTATCATGATAGTGGGAGCAGGGAGGAAACATTTAGGAACTAGAGGAAAGTTGTATTTTTCATCGTTGCTACATCACACCCTGACTGGCTCGTCTCCTCCCCGAGACCCCTCTGCAAGGGGATCTCCAGTGGCCTACTAATGGGCCTTGGGTCTCCACTCCGCACTCCCCCCATCATTCACTACGGTAAGATTTTTTTTGTTCTGATGATGCCTTATACCTGATCCCTTCAACATCTCGTGATTGCATAGGCTGGTAAGCTTCTTCCATGTGGGCTTTGTTGCTTCTGAGCTTGATGGCCGCTTGATTACCTTCAAGTCTTTAAGACCCCAGACGCTATACTTTTTGATAGCTGGGCACCATCAGCTTTCTTCGCCACATTTGCTTATGCACCCATTTGTCTTCAGTGATCCCTTCGACACCTCGTGATCACACAGGCTGATATGTTGTTCCATGTGGGCTTTGTTGCTTCTGAGCTAGATGGCCGCTTGTTTACCTTCAAGCTTTTAAGACTCCAGAACGCTATATCTTTTGATAGCTGGGCACCATCAGCTTTCTTCACCACATTTGCTTATTCACCCGCTTTGTTTTCAGCGGTTGTGTCGGGAAGGTGAGCAATCATAGAATGCCAATTTAATAAAAGGAAGTATTCTTGCATTGAGGGAGTACTTGAGTGGAGGCCCAATGTCCTTCTGCTACCTTAATACTAAACCTATAAATATAGGCACATAGATCTATTTCCCCATCCTCATATATAAATATATTTGTATATGTACATGTCTTTCTCTAGACCTCTATAAATGCCCTTTGCCTCCCAGCTCTTTCCTCTATTTCCCTTGACTTTCCTCCTGCCCCACTATCATGCTCAGACCACACCAGGGTTTCAGAAATTCCTCTTGGTTACATTACCCTTGATCACGCCCTACCAGGCCTCCCACACCCTCCTCACCACTGATTTAGATCACTTGTTGTTCCCTTGTCCCTGGATTTGTTAATACCACTTCCTTTCCCTGCACCTCCCCCTCTCCCATGTCCCCCCCGGAACTGTCGGTCCCGTTGTTTTCTCCTCCAGATTGTTCATCCAGCCTATCTTATTTAGACAGTCCTGCGGAGATAATAGCATGTGCAAAAACAAGACAGAGCAAAACCAAGCAACAATGTACAACAAAACAGCAACAACAACAAACCACTGACAAAGAACAAATTAAAACACAACAAGAGAGAAAAGCTCGTAGTTAGTTCAAGGATTGTTGGCCTTTAGGAGTGTTTTCCAGTCCAGTCTGCATAACTGTCATTTTGCTACTGTTATAAATTGGACGATCCCTGTGAAAGAGTCGTTTGAACCTCAAAGGGGTCGAGACCCACAGGTTGAGAACCACTGGATTAGAGGGAGGCAAGTTAAAACTACAGTAAGATACCATCTCATCTTGGCAACAATGGCACTGAGCAGAAAAGCGGTAACAGTGGCTGGTGAGGCTGTTGCTAGACTGGAAATCTTACACGCTGGCGGTAGGACTGAAAAATAGTGTAGCCACACGGAAAATGCTATGCGGTGCTTCCTTTAAGAGCTGGAAGTAGAAACACATGATCCAGCAGTCCCAATCCCAGGTGTATGTCAGAGATACATAAGAGCTGTGACATGAATAGGCATGTGCACTCTCGTATTTATCATTCACAATTGCAAAAAAGAAAAAAGAAACAACCTATATGTCCATCAGTGGAACAGTAAATAAACTATGGTGCATGCAGGCGGGAGAAAGACTATACTTTCTGCTCCCGTTAATAGATACAATGTCGGAACCCCACATGGGGGTCTCTTTGAGGCCCCCCTGACTCGATGGCAGTGGGTTGGGTTTGGTTGGTACAGCCAGACAGTGTAAGCACAACGTAACCGTAAGGAATAATGGACCCACAACATTTCACAACATGGGTGAACCTGGAGGGCGTTAGTATGCTGAGTGAGATAAGTACTAAGACAAACAATGTTCACAATAGATCACTACCGTTTGAAAAAGCAAGAGTGGGTTTACATGTAGAAAGAAACCTTTGCTGATTGCCAGGGGTTGGAGATGGGAGAGAGAGGGAGAATCACTAATTGGATAGTAGACAAGTGTGGATTCTGGTGAAGAGATAGGCAATATACAATAGGGGGAATAAAGGACAACAGTGGTAAACGCTTTAACATACACAACCTAACAGTAGTAATAACAAAAGTAACTTGTGAGTAGTGAGGGCAGGGGAAGCGGGCAGGGGAAGCGGGTGAACAGAAATAGGGAACCCCAGGAGGAACTGCAGAGAGTGCCAACACCGGGAGGCTGTCCATGTGTCAATTATTGATTGGAAAACTAATTTACTATGCAAAATTTCACCAAAAGCAAAATAAAATTCATGGTTTTAAGTTTTTAAAGGCAGCAGAGATGCCCCTCCCTCTCCTAAATCACAGTGCAGCAGAAAGAACCTTGTTTAATTAGTATGTCCTACATACATCCTACGCTACGCGCTACTACCAGCTTGTTTAGTAGCTACCGTGTTTCCCCGAAAGTAAGACATCCCCCGAAAATAAGACCTCCCTGAACATAAGGCCTCCCCAATAATAAGGCCCCCCGAGGCTACATGTATTAGTCTGGGTACTTTGGAGAAACAAATCCACAGAAACTCTTGTATAACAGAGTTTTATATGAAGGTTACATGCGCACCAAGAAAACATCCCAACCCAGTGCTGCCCAAGCCCACAAGTCCAACATTAACCCATATGTCTGACACCAATCCACAAAGTCCTCCATCTCACAAAATA